TAGGAAAGGTAGGGGGTGTGTGGACCAGGTGTTTACAGTGAAACATGTTAAGTGAACAGTATTTAGATAAGGCTAAAGAGGTCTTTGTGGCATTTATGGATTTGGAAAAGGCATATGACAGGGTGGATAGAGGGGCAATGTGGCAGATGTTGCAGGTGTATGGTGCAGGAGGTAGGTTAATGAAAGCAGTGAAGAGTTTTTACAAGGATAGTGAGGCTCAAGTTAGAGTATGTAGGAAAGAGGGAATATTTCCCAGTAAAAGTAGGCCTTAGACAAGGATGTGTGATGTCACCGTGGTTGTTTAATATATTTATAGATGGGGTTGTAAGAAAAGTAAATGCGAGGGTCTTGGCAAGAGGCGTGGAGTTAAAAGATAAAGAATCACACACAAAGTGGGAGTTGTCACAGCTGCTCTTTGCTGATGACACTGTGCTCTTGGGAGATTCTGAAGAGAAGTTGCAGAGATTGGGGGATGAATTTGGTAGGGTATGCAAAAGAAGAAAGTTAAAAGTGAATACATGAAAGAGTAAGGTTATGAGGATAACAAAAAGATTAGGTGATGAAAGATTGGATATCAGATTGGAGGGAGAGAGTATGGAGGAGGTGAATGTATTCAGATATTTGAGAGTGGACGTGTCAGCGGATGGGTCTATGAAAGATGAGGTGAATCATAGAATTGATGAGGGGAAAAGGGTGAGTGGTGCACTTAGGAGTCTGTGGAGACAAAGAACTTTGTCCTTGGAGGCAAAGAGGGGAATGTATGAGAGTATAGTTTTACCAACGCTCTTATATGGGTGTGAAGCATGGGTGATGAATGTTGCAGCAAGGAGAAGGCTGGAGGCAGTGGAGATGTCATGTCTGAGGGAAATGTGTGGTGTGAATATAATGCAGAGAATTCGTAGTTTGGAAGTTAGGAGGAGGTGCGAGATTACCAAAACTGTTGTCCAGAGGGCTGAGGAAGGATTGTTGAGGTGGTTCAGACATGTAGAGAGAATGGAGCGAAACAGAATGACTTCAAGAGTGTATCAGTCTGTAGTGGAAGGAAGGCAGGGTAGGGGTCGGCCTAGGAAAGGTTGGAGGGAGGGGGTAAAGGAGGTTTTGTGTGCGAGGGGCTTGGACTTTCAGCAGGCATGCGTGAGCGTGTTTGATAGGAGTGAATGGAGACAAATGGTTTTTAATACTTGACGTGCTGTTGTGAATGGAGACAAATGGTTTTTAATACTTGACGTGCTGTTGGAGTGTGAGTAAAGTAACATTTGTGAAGGGATTCAGGGAAACCGGCAGGTTGGACTTGAGTCCTGGAGATGGGAAGTACAGTGCCTGCACTCTGAAGGAGGGGTGTTAATGTTGCAGTTTAAAAACTGTAGTGTAAAGCACCCCTCTGGCAAGACAGTGATGGAGTGAATGATGGTGAAAGTTTTTTCTTTTTTGGGCCACCCTGCCTTGGTGGGAATCAGCCAGTGTGATAATAATAATAATAAAACCAAGGGTCCACTGTATAATAAACCCACTACGTAACATACAAACATGATAAATACACCCCACAGAAGAATAAATTAACATAAATATGTAAATTAAAAGGACACAAGTGCAACTAATGTGACATTTTAGTGTGGCAACGTTTCGCTCTCCAGGAGCTTTGTCAAACCGTTACGGCTTGAGGTGTATAAATAGAAAACAGGAATTAATAAAGGGGATGTAAATAGAGTGCTAAAATTATCTAACAGACAGGACTCGCAGCATGGCTTCAAATTGGAAAAATTCAGATTCAGGAAGGATATAGGAAAGCACTGGTTTGGTAATAGAGTTGTGGATGAGTGGAACAAACTCCTGAGTACCGTCATAGAAGCTAAGACATTATGTAGTTTAAAAAAATAGGTTGGAAAAATACATGAGTGGGTGTGGGTGGGTGTGAGATGGACCTGACTAGCTTGTGCTACTAGGCCGGATGTCGTGCTCCTCCGTTAAGTGACGTGTCTGACCTCACTAGGTCAAGGCACTGGCTTAAGCCGGTAGGAGAATTGGACCTGCCTTTTATAGGCCAGTAGGCCTGTTCCAGTGTTCTTCTTTCTTACGTTCTTATTACCTTGCATGGTATACATGTCAGTGAAATTGGTCTGTAGTTCAATGCTTCCTTCTTGTCTCCTTTCTTAATTTTTTTATCACATTGCCAGAAGTGCATTGATATTGCATTTCAGATACCCTTGCAAACTGCAAATATCCCCACCCCTCCTTTAGAGTGCAGGCACTGTATTTCCCACCTCCAGGACTTATGTCTGGCTAATCAGTTTCCCTGAATCCCTTCACAAAATATTACCTTGCTCACACTCCAACAGTATATCCTATCTAACACACTCACATATGCCTGCTGAATGACCAAGCCCCTTGCACACAAAACTTCCTTTACCCCCTCCCTCCTACTGTACTTTTATTTATTTATTTATTTATTTATTTATTTATTTATTTATTTTATGTCTTTGCAAACAGTACATTGAGATTTTGTATTTACAATAGTGGGTTGCAATACAAAGAGAGCCTCTATTATGCCTAGGCATTATGGGCCAACTTAACATTATTGGCTTACATACTACTTAACACTAAGGATTATATCATAGTTGTACAGTAGGAGAGTAATTATTTCATAGTTGTACAGTAGATTATTAATTATAAATGAATCAAAATTTGTATTAGACAAAAGATATATTCATATATTCGAAAATACTTTTTGTGAAAACAATGATTCAATTATATTCCTGTCAACAATGGATAAAAGGTTCAAAGTAACTGTTGAAGTTATGATGTGGGAGTACATAAGTGAGTATGTGTGTACTGAGTATTTAGTCTGAGTCTTAAATGATTTTCAGACTGGGTTACTTTAATATCTTCTGGTAATGAATTCCATATTTTGGGGCCCTTTATGTGCATAGAGTTTTTACACAGTGTGATATGGACACGAGGTATATCAAAAAAAGATCTGTCTTGTGTTGTGGTCATGTGTCCTGTTTAGGTTGGTGAGGAGAAGTTTGAGTGGAGGGTTTATGTTTGCGTGTATTGTTCTGTGTATGTAGTAGGCACATGAATAAGTATGGATGTTCTTAATGGTGAGCAGATTTAGACTTTTGAAAATTGGTGGAGTATGCTGGCGGGAGTGGGAATTTGTTATCATTCTTACTGCTGACTTTTGCTGGGTTTTAGGTGATTGGATGTTGTTGATCCCCATGCACAAATTCCATATGTAAGATAAGCGTATATGAGTGAATGGTACAGTGCCAGGAGAGCTGATTGTGGAAAATAGTAGTACCTTATCTTTGATAGTATGCCTACAGTCTTGGAGATTTTCTTGGTGATTTGTTGTATGTGTGTCCGGAACTTAAGGCTACTGTCAAGGTGGATACCTAGGAATTTTCCCTCTGTGAGTCTTGTGACTGATGATCCATTTAGCATTATGTTAATTAGATCATTTGCAGTTTTGTTTCCAAACTGAATGAAATAGGTTTTATCAGTGTTCAGGGTAAGCTTGTTAGTCATCATCCAGGCAGATATTTTCTGTAATTCGGCATTGACTGTGTTTGCTAGTATGACTATGTTTGGGTGGGAAAAGACATATGTAGTGTCATCTGCAAATAATATGGGTTTGAGTAGCTGTGATGCATTTGGTAGATCATTGATGTAGATGAGAAAGAGGAGTGGTCCAAAGACACTTCCTTGTGGGACTCCTACTGTGATTGGGTGGGTGGAAGAGTTTGCATCATTTGCATACACATATTGAGTTCTGTTACTAAGGTATGATTTTAGGTAGTTGAGGGAGTGGCCTCTGATACCACAGTGCGTTAATTTGGAGTACAGCAGTTCATGGTCGACTATATCAAAAGCTTTACGTAAATCAATGAAAATGCCCAGCGGGACTTCTATCTTTTCAAGTGTGGTATATATTAGTTCTAGCATGTGTATGATAACATCATTTGTGCTTTTATTATTCCTGAATTCAAACTGACAAGGGTTTAATATGTTGTGTGAGACGAGGTAGGAATAGATCCGCCTATGAATTATTTTTCAAAGATTTTAGAGAGCAGTGGTAAGTTATATATTGGTCTATAGTTATTCACGTCAGCTTGGACACCTCCTTTGTGGATCGGAGTGACCCTCGCTATTTTGAGGATTGTTGGGAAGGTAGATGATTCAATGGATTTGTTAAAGAGCGTTGCAATAATTGGTGACAATACTTGAGAAGCTTTTTTGTACATAAAAGCAGGCGAGTTGTTTATGTCTCCTGCCTTGTTTTTAAGGGTGTTTATGATGAGCGTAACTTTTATGGGGTTGATTGGAACTAGGAATAGCGTATTTGGGTAGGTACCTATGAGGAAGTCTGATGGATGGGTGTTTGCGCTTGGTATTTTGTTCGCTAGATTTTTTCCTATGGTGGAGAAGAAAACATTGAGTCTGTTCACTGTTTCAGTAGTTGTGAGTAGGGGTTCATCTGATTTTGTTAGTTTGATTGTTTTGTTTTTGGATAACTTTTTAGTTCCAAGAATTTCAGATAGAGTTTTCCAGGTTTTTTTCATATCGTCGTTGATGTTATTTAATCTATTTTCATAATACAATTTTTTAGACCTTCTTATCAGGCTGGTAAGTGCTGACGAGTAATGTTTAGACTGTTCTCTATGACCCATTCTATACTGTTTTTTATATCTGTGCTTTGTGTTAATGGATTTGAGGATGCTTGGTGTTAGCCAGGAATTATTCAGTCTCTTGGCTGTGATCTGTTTAGTTTTTTGGGGGCAATGTTTGTTATAGAGGCTCTGGGCTTTTTTTAGAAAATTATTTATACATTCATTCATATCTGTATATGTTTCGAGCTCATTTTGCCAATCGATGTTATTCATAGCTGATATAAAGTTGTATTACAATTGTTCTTGACTTGACTAAGTTATGACTTTATATTAGTTATGAGCAATGTACGGAAAATATATTTAATGCATTTGTTGTGTTTACTGGCTCACCCATGCAAACTTGCATCATCATTGTAGATTCAAAGCCATCATCACAGTCACATATGAAGGAGCCCGCAGTATTCTTGCAGGTACCATTGCCACAAACACCATGCATGATGCCACACTCATCAATATCTGCAGATATAATACAACTTGTAAAATATATGTGACAAAATAAAAATTTCAATATACAGTAAAAAAGTAATAAAATATCTTAGATATTAATATATGAAACAAAATATTTCAACTAGGAAATTGTGCTTGAAACTATGACAGTGTTCACTAAACTTTATAATGAGTATGAAAATTATTCCATGTATTGCAATGATCAATACTTACCTACACATTTTATGCCATCTTCATCCAACGCGTAGCCTTGATTGCATCGGCACGAAAATGAACCAATTGAGTTTCTACAGCGGCCATTGTCACACATGTCAGAATAAGTTGTGCACTCATTCACGTCTTTGCGTCCATCATAGCCATAGCTTTTGGGGCACAGTTCATCGAAGGTTTCAGCACCAGGTCGAGGGCAAGCTTCACACGACTCTCCCCAGGCCTTTCCCACTGTACAACAGCATGTGGATTTTCGGAACAGCCCCTGTAACACAAGACATAAAACTTGACTTAAAAGTGCTGACAAGGTTCTAGTCCAGTCCATTATATGATGTACCAAAAAGCTTATACTTAATAACTATAATTTAATAGTTCAGTTAGGACAGTTATAATAATGTTTTAAAGCAGGAAGGGACAAAATTTTTTAGTCATCCAAGATAATTAAACAAAAAAATTGGGGGTAAATACAGGTACCATCCGACTCATGAACGAGCTTGGTTCCAACCAACCGGTCTTAAGTCAAAATGGGCGTAAGTCGAACCTTAGAAAACTGCCTATAGGGATACTTCAAAAATCAAATCTTAATATTGTAAAGCATGTTTCAGTGTCCCCACTCTATTACATAAGAACATAAGAAACATTTCACCATTCTCCTTTTAATGGACTGATGAAGCCACTGTGTGGCGAAATGTTTCCTCATTAAAGATACCCAAGTATTGCACGTGTGTCTAATTTATCAACTTGTCGGTTCTTTGAACCATTCATCTACAATATAAGAAAGGAGGAACACTGCAGCAGGCCTGTTGGCCCAAATTAGGCATGCCTTCTCAAATCCATCCATCCATATACATTTGCCCAACCTATTTTTTATGCTACCCAAGCCATAGCTTTTGTAACCTTTCTTTCTTATGTACCAGATAACTTTTCCACCATTTGTATAACTACTACTACTACCTCTACTTGTGTGGGTGAAACGTTGGCAATAAAGTATCACACTAAACTGCTGCGTCTGACCATGGGTCTAGCAGCCCTGCTGCCAAACGCACGGCCGTAAGTCGAATGGTGGTCATAAGTCGGATGGTGAGTGTAATATAAAACAAAAGAAATTGTACCAAGTACAATTTTAGTTTAAGGATAAAGTTAATAACTGCAAAAACTAAGTTCTACCCAAAAAAAAAATTAGTAACGTTATAAAGAGGGGCAAAAATTTATTGGAAGACACGAAGACAGTCAGGATAATACTATGTTCTCCTAGCACACTGTCTTAGGAAACAACTATTGTGATACATAATAACCCAGAGACTATTGTATAGCTAGCTAGTAATAATAATTTAAAGTTGGATGTGTCTCATTAAAATGCTACTTTTTACAATATATATATTTATAACAAAATATGATTGTCTTCTTTGTTGATTACAGTATCATGTGTTTAATCCTGAGCTTACTTCTCACCTGAAAAGTAAAGTTTAAAACTGTAAGCAGAAAATAATTGTTAATAAATAACATTATCTCTTTGGGGAAGTGAACAAATATCTTGTCTCCGTAATTCATGTGAGCCATGAAAGGCAACTAAAATGCCAGGAGCAAGAGGCTAGTAACCCCTTCTCCTATATAAATTACTACATTAAAAAGAAAAACTTACGTTTTTCTTTACGTTTTTCCTAAAAAGAAAAACTTACGTTTTTCTTTTTAGGACACCCTGCCTTGGTGGGAGACAGCCAGTGTGTTAAAAAAAATGACATTATCTGAAAATTAAATGGAAGTGGTACCTCCAACTCTTTGCTGCACACGCCATTCCTGTACTCAAGGAAGCACGTCTCTTCTCTCAGGTCGAGGCATTTTGTCTTGGTGTCATCGAGGGTGAGACCAGGAGGACAGTTACAGGTAAAGGAACCATCAGTGTTTACACATTCACCACCACCCTGACAGATTCCTGGGTTCAACTGACACTCATTGATATCCTGACATGTCTTCCCATCCATCTGAAGTTAAATAATTATTATTTGGTAGCCATGAGACAAAATTTTTAATTAAAACTCAATATGAACAAATATCTCACAGTTCTTTTAGGACCATCAACACTTGTATTTTATAAAATACGGAGAAAAATCTGCAAAGCTAGCTAAAATATGCTATTTTGATTCTCAAACACATCTGCTCACTTTGTACTACTCTCTAGTCTATCCATACCTTGCTTATGGTAACTGTGCATGGGAATCAACAACAGCTAATCACCTTAAACCTGTAGTTACATAGCAAAAATCAGCTCTCAAAATAATTTAGGGATTAGGCAACACTCACTCACTCCATATTAAAAGTTTAAATATGCTTAACATACAAAATATTCACACTTTCTACTTAGCACAAAATGTCTACAGGACACTTAGTGCAAACATTAACTCACTTAAGTACTATCTGGAGAGCTGCAACAGAACACATGGACACAATGCAAGGAACAAGTATCTCTTTGACATTCCACATGTATGTCTCAATCTGTTTAAAAACTCGATGCAGAAAAAATGTCCAAAATATTTGAACTCATTGATTGAAAATGCCAAAAGTTCCCCAACATCTTTACTAATATTGTTAAAGAGAACATATTTAAAAAAAATATATAAATGCTATGTCTATTAAATGTCTGTAAATCCTCATGCTTTGATTCCTCCACATTAATTCAACCACTCAATGAATGAGTTTCATTAAATATTTCTTTATCATACAATTTACACTTCTTAGAAACTCTTAGTTATAAAAAAAATGAACCAGATATTATGACAATATTATAAAAACTGAAACAAACCTTAGCAAAACCAATAGGACAGTCACAATCAGCTGGGTTGCATATTTCACATGGGGAACCCCAAGCTTTTCCAATGGTGCAGCAACATTCTGATTTGAGAGTCACTTTTGGTAGATTGTTTTCGCAACGTCCATCCTTCACCTTAGTCCAGCATGACCCACGTCGGTTGTCTAGAAAATTTGCAAAAGTAATATATTTCCTAATGATATTAACTGGATCATGGTAAAGCTCAACACAAATTTATCAAAAAAAAAAAAAAATTACTGAATTAGAATAAAGGTTTATATTGTGGTACTAAATTATGTATATAAGATAGTATAAAAGCTCAAGAATAAAATCTATAAGTTATATAATAAGAATACAAGAATTTTTTATTGTAAGATCCAAAACACATATTGTTATCTTGTGTATAGGACTCCGCAATCACTTACATTCTTAGAATATGTACATTTAAATTAGCATTTAAATGATTTACAGTAGTATCTTACCAATGCAATACCTGCCAGTTGAATCAAGAATTGTTCCTTCATCACATTCACACCTGTATGAGCCAATGACATTGACACAAGTCCCTCCCACACAGGCATCCTCCCCGAGTTCACTGCACTCATCAACATCCTCGCAGACATGCGTGCTGGGATTAAGCTGTGTACCAGACGGGCAGATACACTGGTAGCTTCCTGGTGTGTTTCGACACTATAATACAACAATATAAATCAGGTTTACAGTATTACACAGCCATGAAGAATTAGCTGTTATTAGGCACTAAAACTAAATATCATATATATTTCCTTCACATTCATATACAGTATAGGCTTTAGTTGATGAAATATTTGTACGTAGTTTTGTGCTCTGTTAACCATAAGGTTTAATAAAAAGGACTTTTTACCATAACAGTCTAAGATCCTAATATTTATACTTTTGCATTAACTGATTTAATTAAACTGTAGTTAACTTTGCAACACACTTCCATTAATCAGTATCCCCTCTCAAGCCTATGTTTAACACTTCTTTTAGTTATTCATTCTTTTCCAGCTCTCTTTCCCATTAGGTACAATTTTCATATCCTAAAGGAAATATATTAGCCTCCAGCATTTTTTTACTATCAAAATGTATCACTCACACTCTATGCATTAATCAGGGTTTCAGGGCAAACAACATCAACTTTTAAGAGTCACTGAATTTCAAAGAATATTCTGACATTTTTGCAAATGCTATGAATGCAATTCATAATTCACCAACATGAATATTAATTGTATAGTGTAATTTACCTGGCCACCATCGCACAACAAGTTGTCAATGGCACATTCGTTGATGTCGTGGCAGAGGCGACCAGTATCATCCACCCTATAGCCAGGATTACAAATGCAGCGATATCCTCCTTCCAAGTTCTCACAGGCACCATTTCGACAAATGGTTGGGTTCAAGGCACACTCATTGATATCTACACAAAACAAGAATTTTTTTAGGTAAAGAGGGATACTGATCAGTAAGAAATTATTACAGCTGTAATTGTTCTTATTACAACTACTGCTGCTCACACTGTATCTAACACTGCTACACTTACAACTATTATTCCAGCTGCTAACACTGCTAGTTACAACTATTACTCCAGCTACTAACACTGCTAGTTACTGTACAACTATTACTCCAGCTACTAACACTGCTAGTTATTGTACAACTATTACTCCAGCTACTAACACTGCTAGTTACTGTACAACTATTACTCCAGCTACTAACACTGCTAGTTACAATTATTATTCCAGCCACTAACACTGCTAGTTACAACTATTACTCTAGCTTCTAACACTGCTACTTACAACTATTACTCCAGATACTAACACTGCTAGTTATAACTATTACTCCAGCCACTAATACTGTTAGTTATAACTATTACTCTAACCACTAACACTGCTAGTTACAACCATTACTCAAGCCACTAACACTGCTAGTTACAATTGTTACTACAGCCACTAGCACTGCTACAGTTACAACTATTACTCCAACTTTACTTAACACAGCTACAGTTACAACTATTACTCCAACTTACCTAACATAGCTACAGTTACAACTATTACTCCAACTTTACTTAACACAGCTACAGTTACAACTATTACTCCAACTTACCTAACATAGCTACAGTTACAACTATTACTCCAACTTTACTTAACACAGCTACAGTTACAACTATTACTCCAACTTACCTAACATAGCTACAGTTACAACTATTACTCCAACTTACCTAACATAGCTACAGTTACAACTATTACTCCAACTTTACCTAACATAGCTACAGTTAGAACTGCAGTACAGGTACAATACCAATTTTCTGGCACCCTTGGTTCCTAGGCTTTGCTGATGTATAATTCTTACCAGACCAAGAGAGGCCACATAATAATAATTCAATGATACACCTCTGACCCACCATGGTCTGCTGGAAACTTTATTTAAACATAAACATAGAAGAAACAGGTTTATTTAGTACTGTGCTTACAAAAATGGGGGGCAAAAGTTTGTGGTTAAAGGAGGGTGGGTACAGGAGAAAAGAGGAGTGATTAGTGGAATGATGAGGTAAAAGGTGCGTTAAAAGAGAAAAAGGTAGTTTATGAGAGGTTTTTACAAAGCAGAAGTGATATAACAAAAGTAGAGTACATGGAGAGTAAAACAAAGGTGAAGAGGCCTGGTCACAGACCGGGCCGCAGGGGCGTTGACCCCCAGAACTCTCCAGGTAAACTCCAGGAAGAGAGTGGTGAGAGAGTGTAAAAGGAGGGCAAAAGATAAAAGTGGGAGAGGCACTGTCAAGAAATTTTGCGGAGAATAAGAAAAAATTTTGGAGATAAACAAGAGAAGTGTGTGGCGGTAACCCCATGGCCTGGCTGGCAAAGCTCTCGCTTCACACACAAAGGGCCCAGGTCTGATTCCTGATGGGGGTAGAAACATTTTGATGCATTTCCTTGCACCTGCTGTCCTGTTCAAATAGCAGCAAGTAGGTACCTGCGTGTTAGTCGACTGGTGTGGGTTGCATCCTGGGGGACAAGATTGAGGACCCCAATGAAAATAAAACAGACAGTCCTCTATGATGCACTGCCTTTCTTGGATTATCCTGGGTGGCTAACCCTGCAGGGTTAAAAATTCGAATGAAATCTTATCTTCTTAAGAAAGCCTAGGGAACGAAAGGAATTGTCAGTTAAAAAACAGAATAGGGGAATTAGTAGATAGGGAGCTGGAGGTATTGGGTAAATGGCAGGAATATTTTGAGGAACTTTTAAATGCCGATGATGAAAGGGAGGCAGTAATTTCATGCACTGGCCAGGGAGGGGTAACATCCTTTAGGAGTGAAGAAGAGCAGGATGTGAGTGTGGGGGAGGTGTGCGAGGCATTACGCAGAATGAAAGGAGGTAAAGCACCTGGAACGGATGGATGTCATGAAAGAAATGTTAAAAGCAGGGAGAGATATAGTGTTGGAGTGGTTGATATTTTTCTTTAATAAATGAATTAAGAGTAAGACGGAGAATAGGATAGCAGATGAACAAGGAGGCTTTAGGAAAGGTAGGGGGTGTGTGGACCAGGTGTTTACAGTGAAACATGTAAGTGAACAGTATTTGGATAAGGCTAAAGAGGTCTTTGTGGCATTTATGGATTTGGAAAAGGCGTATGACAGGGTGGATAGGGGGGCAATGTGGCAGATGTTGCAAGTGTATGGTGTAGGAGGTAGGTTACTGAAAGCAGTGAAGAGTTTTTACGAGGATAGTGAGGCTCAAGTTAGAGTGTGTAGGAAAGAGGGAAATTTTTTCCCAGTAAAAGTAGGCCTTAGACAAGGATGTGTGATGTCACCATGGTTGTTTAATATATTTGTAGATGGGGTTGTAAGAGAAGTAAATGCGAGGGTCTTGGCAAGAGGCGTGGAGTTAAAAGATAAAGAATCACACACAAAGTGGGAGTTGTCACAGCTGCTCTTTGCTGATGACACTGTGCTCTTGGGAGATTCTGAAGAGAAGTTGCAGAGATTGGTGGATGAATTTGGTAGGGTGTGCAAAAGAAGAAAATTAAAAGTGAATACAGGAAAGAGTAAGGTTATGAGGATAACAAAAAGATTAGGTGATGAAAGATTGGATATCAGATTGGAGGGAGAGAGTATGGAGGAGGTGAATGTATTCAGATATTTGGGAGTGGACGTGTCAGCGGATGGGTCTATGAAAGATGAGGTGAATCATAGAATTGATGAGGGAAAAAGAGTGAGTGGTGCACTTAGGAGTCTGTGGAGACAAAGAACTTTGTCCTTGGAGGCAAAGAGGGGAATGTATGAGAGTATAGTTTTACCAACGCTCTTATATGGGTGTGAAGCGTGGGTGATGAATGTTGCAGCGAGGAGAAGGCTGGAGGCAGTGAAGATGTCATGTCTGAGGGCAATGTGTGGTGTGAATATAATGCAGAGAATTCGTAGTTTGGAAGTTAGGAGGAGGTGCGGGATTACCAAAACTGTTGTCCAGAGGGCTGAGGAAGGGTTGTTGAGGTGGTTCGGACATGTAGAGAGAATGGAGCGAAACAGAATGACTTCAAGAGTGTATCAGTCTGTAGTGGAAGGAAGGCGGGGTAGGGGTCAGCCTAGGAAAGGTTGGAGGGAGGGGGTAAAGGAGGTTTTGTGTGCGAGGGGCTTCGACTTCCAGCAGGCATGCGTGAGCGTATTTGATAGGAGTGAATGGAGACAAATGGTTTTTAATACTTGACGTGCTGTTGGAGTGTGAGCAAAGTAACATTTATGAAGGGATTCAGGGAAACCGGCAGGCCGGACTTGAGTCCTGGAGATGGGAAGTACAGTGCCTGCACTCTGAAGGAGGGGTGTTAATGTTGCAGTTTAAAAACTGTAGTGTAAAGCACCCTTCTGGCAAGACAGTGATGGAGTGAATGATGGTGAAAGTTTTTCTTTTTCGGGCCACCCTGCCTTGGTGGGAATCGGCCAGTGTGATATTAAAAAAAAAAAAAAAAAAAATGTATAAAAGAGGGAAAGGTACCTAGGGATTGGCAGAGAGCGTGCATAGTTCCTTTATATAAAGGGAAGGGGGACAAAAGAGATTGCAAAAAATTATAGGGAAATAAATTTACTGAGTATACCAGGTAAAGTGTACGGTAGAGTTATTATTGAAAGAATTATAGGCAAGACAGAGAGCAGGATTGCAGATGAGCAAGGAGGCTTTAGAGTGGGTAGGGGATATGTAGATCAAGCATTTACATTGAAGCATATATGCGAACAGTATTTAGATAAAGGTAGGGAAGTTTTCATTGTATTTATGGATTTAGAAAAAGTATATGATAGAGTGGATAGGGGAGCAATGAGGCAGATGTTGCAAGTGTATGGAATAGATAGTAAGTTACTAAATGTTCTAGAGTTTTTATAAGGATAGTGAGGCTCAGGTTAGGGTGTGTAGGAGAGAGGGAGATTACTTCCCAGTAAAAGAAGGTCTTAGACAGGGATATCTAATGTCACCATGGTTGTTTAATATATTTATGGATGAGGTTGTAAAAGAAGTAAATGCTAGGGTGTTGGGGAGAGGGGTGGGATTAAATTATGGGGAATCAAATACAAAATGGGAGTTGACACAGTTACTTTTTGTAAATGATACTGTGCTCTTGGGAGATTCTAAAGAAAAGTGACAAAGATTAGTGGACGAGTTTCAGAGGGTGTGTACAATTAGAAAGTTGAAAGTGAATATAGATAAGAGTAAGGTGACAAGGGTATCAAACGATTTAGGTAAAGAAAAACTGGATATCACACTGGAGATGAGAGTATGGAAGAAGTGAATGTTTTCAGATATCTGGGAGCTGACTTCTCAGCGGATGGGTTTATGAAGGATGAGGTTAACCATAGAACTGATCAAGGAAAAAGGGTGAGTGGTGCATTGAGGTATCTGCGGAGACAAAAAATGTTATCCATGGAGGCAGTGAAGGGAATGTACTAAAGATTAGTGGTACCAACACTCTTATATGAGTGTGAAGCTTGAGTTGTAAATGCTGCAGTGAAGAGGCAACTGGAGGGAGTGGAGATGTTGTGTCTAAGGGCAACGTGTGGTGTAAATATTATGCAGAGAATTAGTAGTGTGGAAATTAGGAGGTGTGGAGTTAATAAATGTATTAACCAGAGGGCTGAAGAGGGGTTGTTGAAGTGGTTTGGTCATTTAGAGAGAATGGAACAAAGTAGAATGACTTAGAGAATGTTAAATCTGTAGGGAAAATAAGGCAGGGTAGGGGTCGTCCTCGAAAAGGTTGGAGGGAGGGAGTAAAAGAGGTTTTGTGAGCGAGGGGCTTGGATTTCCAGTAAGCATGCATGAGCGTGTTAGACAGGAGTGAGTGGAGACAAATAGTTTTTGGGATCTGACGAGCTGTTGGAGTGTGAGCAGGGTAATATTTTGTGAAGGGATTCTTGGAAACTGGTTAGCCGGACCTGAG